GGTGAAGGATAAAGCACAAAATCATATCCAGCAAATTTAAAAGAGAGAACGAAAATGACGTATATACAGTAGCATTTACAATATACGACAACGCGACCAAATAGAACTGAGACAAACCTATGTCTCTCAAGTGTTGCTCTTCCTGTGCGACAGCTTATCCACAAAGCTCCTCAGCTCACGGAAGCGGCTCAGCTTCCGTCCATTCCCCTGGCTTTGTCCATTCTCCGCGGGCTGCTGAACTGATGTCGCATCGACCTCAACGGCAGACTTCTTGACAGAGCTACTAGAGCCGCCGCCAATAGTGACTGCCAAGAGCTTTGGATTGCCGTCAAAAACACTGCCAGATTGATCCGGGCCATCGTTAGGCGCAACATCGTCATAGGGGAATGCATAGCCTCGGGTATCGATGTTCACAGAATGACAGATGCGCGAGTAGTGGTTAGTCACAGGGTTCTTGTAGTAGTTCGAAACTGTCTCCCCGTTCGGTTGGTTGCCATTTATCAACAGGGTCGAGCGGTTGAACGCAGCCGCAAGACGAGCTGTAATGGCGTCTTTGGTGGCATTCCCAGAAACGGCAAAGGAGCCAGTGCTGTTGCTGAAGATGTCTCCAGTAGACGGCTTCTTGTAAGAAATACCTGGAACCGAGAAGGACAAGACATCGGAGGCAACTTTGGCGGTGACATCGCCGGCGTCTGCCTGGGTGTTGACCGTCAAAGTATTTTTGGTGCTGTAGTAAGACCATACTTCATCCACGTAACTCTTGTAGTAATCGTTGAACAAAGAATTATTGAGGGTTTTTCCCGTGTTTGGAGAAACAGCCCGCAAGTTGACCCCATCTTTCTGAATTACAAGCTGATCCCAGCCGGCATTATCCTTGCTATTCTGCTCTTTGAGAGCGTTGCAGACTAGATCGAGACCATTTGGTGGCAGACCCTTGACGGTCTGGGTTGCACCAGATCCGTTGGTTAGGGTCATGGCGATGGGCATCGACACGAAATCGACATAGCTAAGATTCGCATAAAGCTGATAGTTATTCCATGTGAATTCGCAAAAGGCCCACATCAGATTGTAGTTTGGGTCTGCCGGGGTCGATACCGAAGGCTCGACAAGTGCAGGGCCAGGATTCAGATAGAATGTCAATTTGTTGTCTCGCGCGAACCACAGTCGCGCCCCTGCAAGGTGTGGAATAGTGATGGTAGTGGTATTGCCAGGTGCACCCAGCGGAATCGCACAATCCTCACTCAGGCCGGTCCCAGTGGCCGACGGTGAGGTCGGGTAGTAGGGTGTCTTGCCATCGGATCGCAAGAGGAAAAGCGCATTATTATTATCAAGCGCTTGGCCTGTAACGTAGGCGTAGACCGTGTTCGAACCGGTGTTGTTTTTCAACTCAAAGTTTAATGTTGCCATTGTGCGCGATATCAGGGCCTTGGATGGTTTGAACAAGAATTCAGGTGAACTGAGGTCTTCAAATGATTGGCGCAAAAGCCCAATAAGAAAGCCGTATCAAGATCCACAAGGCTGCCAAGGGGTTTGACGCTGTTACCGACATTTTGGTTCGCAATAGGGCCCAATATATATAATATCGCTCAACATCCTTTGTTGAGTTTGTGCCGAACTCGTGGCCTCAGGTAGGGCAGGGTGACAAGACCCTGTGATGCAACGTGGCGATGACCTCAACTTTCTCGGGGATGATGGCCTCAACCCCATTGGAGCGGCGACCTGATTTAGGCGGACATGTCGATCATAGTTCGCAACAGGCTGCCCGCCGATATCAACAACAGTATGTACCGATGTCGATCTAAGCTACCGCGGGACGGCGCGATCATGCCGAGTTTCCAGGTGATCCAACTCCCACATATTCATCTTGGCCTCTTTATGCGGGGAACAACTTTGAGCTAAACATGTGGAACTTCCTTGACTTGGGAATCGAAGGCCAAATACTTGAGGTTCAAAGCAACCGACTTGCGATGTTCTCAACAACTCGCATTCTGCCCCGGGGCCAAGGAGGGTGCGTGATTCCAAGCTTGGCCATCGAGTCAGCATCAGGTCATCCACGCCTTTATGGATTTTATTGGCCAATACAACCATTTGATATTTCTATACCTCTATGAGACGATCGTTAACATTTTTCTCTTTAAAAAGTATGCTAGTCTTTGACTTCCTGTTCTTGTATCATATGACGACCTTAGATGTGGTCTTTCCAGCACCCGAGCCCTGAGGCTGAAGAACCTCGCAAGGCATCACGGACACCCCACGTCGAGGAGTTTGAAGATTGTTACACGGGCTACTTTAGTTTGATGACTTTCATGGGTTTATTCTTTAAAAAAGGGTTCCCCGGCCAGAGGAACGGAATATTATCACGCGGCGATGGAATATTGAAACAACATAAGATGATCAGATGCTACATCCATAGGTAGCTCCATGGGTATCCCCTCTATCCTCTCTTGGCTTAGTGAAATGTCCGACTTTTCATCGCTTTGTGAAGTTTTCGGGATAATAGAAGAGATTAAAAGGTTAAAAGGTCGTTTGTACCAAGCTGAGATATATCTTCCGAGTTTGTGTCGATTGTAGACTTTTTAGATTATTTAGCAAACAGGCAATGGAGGACGGTTTTCGAGGACGGTTCCCCAGGGCTTCTATTATGATCTACGTAGAGTATTTCATCTCACCTTCCTTGGAACCCTTCTATAGGGGTTGTATCTATTCAGACAACTTGTCAGGATATAACTAACATCCAATATACCAAACTCATTTTCAGATTCACTCACATGTCATTATTGTCTAGCAGTACCCAAAATTAGCAAATGGGAGAAAATACCATCCACGTGTTTTATCTTGCGCCTTAACTTGTCGAAACAAAACAAACCGTCCGATGAACGTTAAATTGGCCGGGCAAGGCGCGGCGCATTCCTTAGTAAGGCCATATATCGATTTTAAATCCTGAAATCTATGAATAAGCGAGATGGAAACACCAACAGGGATTATCTTTTAAGTATACTTCTGCCTAGAACCCTTGCTAAGACGTATAAGTGGCGGTCTATCAAAGTTGGTATCTGTACGACAATTGTCGAGGGCCAAGTTAGGAATTATAACCACACTTCTATTTGATCGTAATTGCGCCGATGCAATAGTTTGCTAGAAAATCTGGCTGTTAGACAAACTGCCATAGTGACATATTGTCACCAAAACTAATGAGAAATTCGCACTTCGTTCAGTTTAGCGGGCCCCAATACTAGACATCATGCAGGGTTGCAGCACGAGATTGCCTTTTATCTTGAATTGTAGTTGACGAAGCACCGTCACCATCAACATTGGGCGTTCTACAGCCACGAAGTCAAAATTTCTGGGCAGGGTAACATGGGACAAAAACATACTTTGGACCTGACGAGCAGGAACTTTTTTTAGTCCGCATGATCTCCAATTATCCAGCGGGGGCTCAGCCATGCTTAGGAGACACAGTATGCTCATATAGCCCTGGTTAACCCAAAGCCATTGCCTTGTCTAACAAGCTACCGTGCAAGTTAAACCAACTTACGATAGCTTGAAATGAGACGGCTCTCCCATTGCTTAGGGGATATTCTACAGGACAACGGCCATTTCACAATGACATAAAAAGTGGATACTTGGCTGGGGAAAGATTTGAGCTTCTGGGCAAGGATTCGCCAAGGTTCTCATGTCTCTATCTGCCGTTTACTGCGCCTCACTGACCTGCAGGCGTCGACTACATCCATTCAGAGATACCGAGGAAAATATGATGATCGACAAATAAGTATCGACAAGCCTATCAACTGAGGCATTACAATGTCCCTGGGCAAAGTCGTTCTATTATTACTTTATGTTGATCCCATACTTTTCAGCACCACATCACGATCTGGACTAACCGACAGAAATCAAGTCGAGGATATGATCAAAGCACCCATGAGAATTCGCTTGAGGACACGACTATCATAACGCCTTTGTGTGGCACGGATCCTAATGGACATCGGCCGTTACGGGACAAAGCCGAGCAGCAAGATAGTACACCGAAGGGGGCACGGGCTCCCCTCCATATCAATACTCCCGAAACAGATGATTTGACACGGGAGCAATTTGGAATTACGGCCATTCTCGGTGGCATACTGGAAGGTGCCGTGCCTGCCTTCCTTGAGATCTCGTGAGATCCAGGCAGATCCACAGAGGAAGCGGAAGTTGACGGAGAACTACCGAGACAAGCTAGTGGAGACAGCTTGATTGGGGAAGTCCGATCGCCGCTAAGCTAGGTAAACCCGCAACGGGGGGGTGTTTCAGAGATAGCTACGATAGCAAGGGCGCTTAAAGGGAGCGATGTTTCACAAAATTCGCCTACTTTACCTCTCACGATTTGGACCGAGGTTAGCGAGGTGGTTCTTCCATTGTGACACCATCACCAACGGGCCCTAATAAGCCCTAACGGTGGGAATTTGACGATTCGTTGATATTTCAGATGTCTCAGCACGCTCCCGAACGCAAGGGCGTATCTATTTTTGTACTAAGTCTTCCCTTGCTGCAAAGGGTCTCGTGCAGTTCGTCTCCCATCGAAAGTCAATAATGAAATCGATAAGTCAATGAATGATTTGAGATTTGAGATTTGAGATTCGAGACGATAAAGGGTCCCTGGAGACGAGACGGCCAGGGATCTCCCAAGCAAAATGATCGCCGTGGAAACGCTTCAAAACAACAGAAAATGAAACGATTGGTAGACAATTGCAGACAATCGACAATCCCAGCCACGATCGACAAATTTGTAGGAAATACAATTAAAGAGAAATTTGATTGAAGGAGAAGCCCCAATTGACCTCCACAGCAGGGCCACGCCAGCGTTTCATTTGCTTGGCGTATAATAATAGCCCATGTTGCCTATTCTGTTCAAGGGCTGACGCGCTTTGTCGTTTTTCTCTCATTCCTCGACTCCTTTGAAATCCGGGGATTTTATTCCATGCCTTCCATTAAGGATCTCTAGGCCGAGTTGCCTGTCCAACATTATGTACATTCCACAAAAACGTCAAAATGAAACGTATAAGAACAACATATTTATTATCGTATGACGTTTCCGATCCTTCCGACCTCCTCCTATGCTGACCTCTTAGTGTGCCGTGAGCATCATATTTGCAATCGCACTCTGTGTAGGCACCTTCTTCCTGCTCCGCTATCTACGACAACGTAACTACGAACCGAAATACCTTCCGGGCAAATACCTCAAGCGAAAATGGAAAGAATGGGGCCCACGGAGTGGCTCATACGGCCAGGTCCCGAATCAAAGTGGCCGAGATACCTCTTATCGTGGAGCCGGCACAGCACCAGAAATGCAGACCACTGATGGCGTCCGTCGCGATACCTCCATCCGTTCGATTATGACCCTACCCCCTTATTCCCAAAGCCCGAAGCCGACCGAACAAGTCATCGCCCGAGAGGGTGAACGCGGCGGGATGGATATGGTCGTGGAATACCCGGAAACTGCGGAAGAACAGGAAACTCGCCGTGAGGAACAGATGGACTCTATGTACCAGATTCGCCTGCAGCGCCGTCAGGAACTAGCCGATCGCGAGGCACGCCGTCGGGAGCGACGAGAAGCCCGGGCGCGTGGGGATTCCGCTCGTCTTGAGCAGCTGAATGCTGAAACTCGCGCACGGTCGGAACGTCGCCGTGCAGGAACCAATAGTGCAGTCGACGTATCCGCGCTTCTAGCTGAGCATCAGTCGAGAGAGCGGGACCGACGCATCTCTAGTGTGAGCTATGCTGAAATTGGACGTGTTCGCCATGATGGATCACGCCTTCGGGCCGACTCACACAATTCCGACTTCCAAGATTCGGATAGCCGACCGCTGTTGCAAAGTGACGCCGTTAGCTCCGCCGCGCCATCTTTTGAACCATCCAGCCTCGACTCTCGCGGCCAGTCCATTGCTTCGTCGATTACGAGTGAATCACATCACTCTACTGAGCTTGAACGACTAACTCTGGCCCCCACTACGACGCACGGCTCGAGCCGACCAGTGTCACAAACTGATGACGGAGATCTGGGGACGCTGAATATTCCTCCGCCTCCTGACTATGAGTACCTGGACTGGGGTGATGCACCTGCGTATCAAAGTCCTGTTACGGAGCAGAATGAACAAGCGCGACAGCTCCCGCCTATCGACCGTCTGCCTTCGATCCACGTCAATCTGCCCAGTCCCATGACTGTGTCTCCCGTGACACCGACTCAGTCGCAATTCCAGAATATCAATATCAACAACGATGGACCTCCAACGCCGACAGAGCGGACGTCGGGAATCCGAATGGTGTCAGCAGGATCGGCGACCACCATCCGTGGCCCACCACCCATACTCAACGATTCCACCCCTGAAAGCAGCCATTAAGTGAACCGTACCAGGAAATCTCATAATATATCGCTCAGCACGCGCACGATTCACGACCTATATTAGCATTAGCCTGGGGGTTCATCTCTTTCACTCGTTTGATTTCGTGCTTTTTCTCCAGCGCCTTTTCCCTTTTTTTGTCATTTACTGGGCTAGCAAGGCGGTTTGAGTTTAGATGGCTCGCAAAGAACATTGCCCATAAAGATATATCACGTCCTTGTCACCAATGTATCTACTGCATCCAATATATGTGGGAAATGGAGATCAATATTGCACTTACTTGACTTATATTTGCCGGTTTCTAGCCGTGTACAGTGCGCAACGTCACTCCAGCTCATGTTAAATACCCATAAGCATATTCACACCCGTGTCGCACACCAAATCATGCGAATGTTCGAATCAGGCCAAGGTGAGTTCTTCGTCTACTCAAGCTCTTCAGCGAAGTAAAGGCCCGCTTCTAGTGCGAATTTCAGCCGCATTCGTCAAATCCAAGTGTCGTTATGTGACGGCCCCCGCATTAAACGAATTCATCAATCTCAGAATGCTCATGTGCACGGAGTAATAGTAGAATACCAATGAAGAGAAGAGAGTAACAGGATCATTTGCTAGATAAGTCCAAAATTCCGCTCACTGCCATGCTTGGTTCACTGGGCGGCCAAAACGAGAATAGCAGTATAAGCTGAAGCGACATATGTATGAATCTGTTCCACATGCAAGCCCGCACTTTCTGCGAGCGACTCCCACTGATGCCTGGTCCGCTCTTTACCAGCAAAGGTCATCATGGCAAGATCAGCCAGGGCTGATTGCCAGTTAGCGCCAGTATCCGGCAACACAGCATCATCAATCAAGACCCGCGAGTCGGGGCCCATGGCCGCGCGAATATTGCGGAGGATCGTTGCGGCTTTGTGGTCGGGCCAATCATGCATGATTCTGCGGAGGTAGTAGAACTTGGCCCCTTAATTGAAGAAAAGGTCAGTTTTCAGTAAGATCTTGTCTCAACTGGATAGATGGAGACAAACCAATGATAGGCTGCGTTTGGAAAAAGTCATAGGCTTCAGCCTTCACACCATCGATGGGAGCGAGATTTTTCACTGCCTCTGGCAAGTCCTGCAGAACAAGGTGACCTAGAAGATTGGGATACTTCTTTCCCAGCTCAATACATTGATGGCCATGGCCGCCACCAACGTCGACGAAGAAGGGTTTCTCCGAAGCCTGTATGGTGGATGAGCCCTTGAATGGAACCTTACGGGCTTCATCGTTAAGAAGAGTGAATCCCTCGGTCCATTCTGACCCTTGAAGTGCAGTCATGATCTTTTGTAGGTTGTCGAAGTGCTTTGGCTGCTGGACAAGCCACTCGAATGAGGTGAGTTTAGTATTGTGGGCTTTCTGGAATGGAGTGTTGGTATTGACGGTGACATCTTGATAGTTGCTTTCAGCGAAGAAGGCAGGCATTGCTTGCACGGCAGGTCCAATCATGTCAAATCTAAGGTTGTGTCAAGGATGCTAGGTAAGCCGGGGTGCTTTTTAGGTGGTTAAGTCATAGGCTGAGATTACCCGTGGTATATCATGGCCTCACCCTTAGGGTCCGCCAAAACATGAGTTATGCTGTTTGCAAAGTACTCGTTAATTCCGGTCTCTTTAATCATGTGGGTCGCGGCTAGGTAACGAAGGATTCTCTCTGAACACAACAATTGTTTTAGAATTCGAAGTAGATACAGTCGTCTCAGATGCCATTACCTAGGAATGCAGGAGACGCTCTGCTCAGCGCCGCAATTTGCGTGACAGTCAAGGACACATCGCTTTTTGCGAGAGAGCGAAGGAGTCCCAAATCTGCACTAATTCGGAGCATCGCACTCGTTAGCCCCTGCAGCTGTTAGCACTTCAGGCAACCCCAGGTGTAGTACGTGATCACCAACCGGTACCGCAAGCTCCATGAAAGTGTCCTGTGGAGATTGAAGTTCAACTTTCACTCTTTGCAGAGACTGAATGATGTTCAACCGACCAGCTTCATCGGTGTCTTGCGCGAGGGCTTGAATCTGAGCAATGATTGCGTCCATAATGATACAAATGGGATAAGAAGATTCTTGGATCAAAGAAGGAAGAAGAAAAAGGCCACACTGATGGGTCAATATAAATTTCCTAGTGAAAAGAGGTTCTTATATACCTCGTCTCTCTCACATAGTTCCCATAGTAGCGGAGGCCCGCGGAACTTCCGCGGATTTGCCGGTCTTTGATTGGTCGACTTCATCACTCGCCCCCATTTCACCCACGAACTCCCATAGCTAAACAAACACTGCCTGAAGTAACATCCAGGCGCCGAAATGTATCGAGTTGAGAAAGATCGTGTCAGATCTTCACGCTCGCGGCCTGTGTCTTGCCACTTCTGTCGATCGAGGAAGCTGAAGTGCAGTCGGCTATTCCCTTGCACCAACTGCACTAGTCGGGGCAAGACTTGCCAGCTCTATCCTACTACAACATTGCCTGCCAGTCCTCAGTACCAGACTGATGAACTGTCTGGCAATGACCATACAGATGTATTGGCCCGCTTGCGAAGGCTGGAAGAGATCGTGATCACCAATAACCCAGCGTCTAGTCCCTTGGGACAAGCTACTGCCCAGGCTTCGTCACTCCCTTCTCCTCCTCCCCAAAAGTCAAATCAACTATACATGATCGACAAAGGAGAGTCATCTGCAGGGGCCGTCACTTGGCTAGAAGGCGAGATCACATCGTCAGGCTCCACGGTAGGCCTACCTTGATCGGATCGCAGTTATGGGAAATCGATCGCTCACAAAAATGTTTAGGGTAATCTTTTTAAGTCTGAAATTGAATTCAGAACTTGCCCCATTCGTAATGCAGTGGGATCTGGACCAATGGTACATCAAGCCCAGCCCACGAAAAGATGTATCTGGCTACCACTCCACGACGAAGCGAAAATAATAGTGGAAAAGTACATCACAGAAATCACTTTCCTCCATCATGTCGTTATCACCCCTTCTCTACGCACCATGGTAGATGAACTCTATTGTGAGCTGAGAGAAAGCAAGCCGGTCAAAATTGGGTACATTTCTTTGCTCTTGAGCATTCTCGCCAGTACCACGTCCTTCTGGACTGAACGAGACATGTGCAACCCCATCTTTTCGACTCCTGAAGAAGCAGTTGCGCAGTCTACCCAGTGGATGAGACTTGCGCTGGAGGTGGTTGATTACTCGCGTTACAAACACTTCGAGTCAATTCAAGATATCCAAGCGATGGTCATTTTAATATTTGTGACTGCCAGTATCCTGGGAATTACATCTCAAGTTCGGCATATACTTTCCGTTGCCATCTCAGTTGGAAGAGAACTATCCTTGCATCGGATCGACCATCCATATAATTCCAACCTAGATGTGCCTGCGCCGTCCTCTGCAGAAGCAGAGATATGCAGAAGAGTGTGGTGGTATCTCGTGGCGACTGATTGGTAAATTTTCCCTCCTACCCTTCTCCTTTTAAGGATGTGAGTTCATTTGATAGCAGGCAGATGTCGCAAATATCTGGCCCCCAGAAGGGCATATATTCAATTGATCCACGCCACATGATGACCAATAAACCTCGCAATGCGAATGATGAAGACATTGTAGATGGGATGGTTGGAGTTGGAAAGCCACTCACCCACCCCACATCGATGTCGTACTGTCTCCAGCGGATTCGATTGGGCGAGTTTTGCCGCGAAATCACAGATTGCGCTCCATTTGGAATGTCAAATCCAGGAAGCCCGGACTACGAGCACACGAAACAGATTGACGGCAAGATCTGTGAATTCGCTGAGAGTCTACCCTCGTTCTTTTCGTTGGCCTATAGGTCAGACGAGCTACCAAAAACCGATCCACGGAAATCTACCGGAATAATCATTCAACGGTACATCATCAATTTTCTGCTTCATGCCCAAAGGTGCAGGCTTCACTTGCCTTATCTGTCGCGAGCGTCTAAGGATCCTGCGTACGATTATTCACGGAAAGCATGCCTGGAAGCAGCTCGAATGGTGATCCGAGCCGAACGCCAACTCTCGCTAGAGATGATCCCCTTTGTGATCGCGCGACTAAGACTTTCAGGCTTGCTACACTGCGTCTGCGTGGCGATCATGGTTCTCCTCATAGACTTTTGTGGGAGTGGTTGTTCCCAGGAAAAGGACCTAACGGAAATTTTGGAAGCATTTTCAATCCTAGAAAAAGCTAAAGAGGACTCCCCTTTAGCAGGAAGGCTACTGGAAACCTTCAAGACGGCACTTCGCCGGCACAGTGCTTCGGGTTCAGCTGTCGAAGAAATTACAGCCACGCATTCCATCGCTCAGGACCGCGACGCTTCGCCGGGACTTGCCTGTGGCTCTCCGACGCTTACAAACATGACATATCCAACAGGCAGGAACGTCGATGACCTCCTGATGGACCCCACGTTGCCTACTCTGGATGACCTCTGGCAGGTATTCGATGACAATGTGGACTCGGGGACTATGGACTGGAATAGCTTCTTTGCTGATTCAGATAGTGCATTTTTGTCTATGTAGTATCAGTGGTCTCAGCATGCGTTGACTGGCAATTGAAATCCGCGACATTATGACGCATGATATTATGTCAATTGATTTTATGTAAGAGACTTTCGTCATTTCTACAATATCCTAGTGCATTGGACTCCACTTAGCTATCCAGTCATGTCCACATTGAGATCGACATAGCATGGTCAGGTTGAAGTTGACCGGCATATCGAAATGCATGTCATACCATTAAATCTAAGGCGACCGGTTCTGTTAGCAACGATGCAGCTTTTGGTTGATTGGTCGGGTTGCATGGGGATAATGTTGCCTGGTTGCTAGGCATATTCTTACTTTGCCACTGCAAAGGGACGTTGCCTCTTGTGCCAGCTGCAGAAATATTTACTGTACTATCCATCAATCTGCCGTCTGTATTGTACAACATATGTTATACAACGTCCACGGGTACGCACGTAGCAAGATTGGCGGGGCCTCTAGAATCTCAGAATGGGAGCCTTGTTCTAAGCTTATGCGATTATGGTTAGATCAAATGCTCCAATATAAACGCGTATTGCTGTGGACTGTGATATACTGCGGAGTAAATCCAAAAAGATATGTATAATGGTGCAAACAGTGCAAAAAGCATGACGTGGATAATAATTCCAAAATGAAAGGCTTTTATATAAATTTGCCCATGGTTGAACGATATAAAAATAGTCGGACGTTGCTGTTGGCTGGGCCCAATTCGGGTCCACTTCCATATTGTTCATGATGACATCCGTGGATAATCCGATCCAATCTCTTTGTGTTGTCTTTTCCATTATCGTCTTTCATCATACTTATGAGAGGAGTGCTTTATGTTGTCTCTCTATCCGTATCTGTTACACGGTAGCAACTATCCTTTATATGTATCACAATTTGCCCCAACTCTATGATCACACTGAAGGATATAATGTACTATATATGTTACGTGTACAGCATATAAAAGACTGTAGTCAGAGATACTGCGTTAATGACAATGGCGCCTGGCACTATCAAATGATTCCTATTTTATTCCTTTATTTATTATACTTCACAATACGCTCCATATGATGGTAGCAGTTCGAGGTTTGTAGGTATATTACATGAGCATACAAAGTGCCCCAGATAGCACAATTGACACAATTGACTGTTTGTATGTACAATATATACTAGCTGTTATTATAAATTGGAGTGCCAAGGTTAGTTAGCGTCTTGACCCATATACTCCCGGCTACCTGGTAACGACAATGGGACTCGATTGAATGATTTGAGCCTCTCGGTGGACTCAAATAGGTAGTGATCGATTGGGAGAATGCATCTTGCCACCTTCAATCGGGCTGCCTGGACCGTAAACAGTACGTCCACATCCCTCTTGTACTCAGCGAGTGGCCATTGTCCATGTCTTCGGATCCTGCTTAAGTGGAGAAACAAGCCTACGCTCATACTCCATCTTACTCCACATCTCAATGAATTGGACCTCTGTTCAACATGACGTTGTGCATGTTGCTACGCATCTCGCTCCGGCTGGTTCGGACCTACCATTGTCTACTCTCCGAGACCAGGGTATTGGTCCATCGGAGTTCTTCCCCACGGTCAACGGCATGAATGGCGGACAGCGAACAGTTTGTATTTTCCCCTATGCTTTCATCTCGGGGGCTTTTGCCGGTCATGTGTGCCCTGATGTTACATTTTTCGTTGATTCGTTTGGAGCTTTAACCCACCGCTTCTTATAAAGATGCACTTTCCCCCAAAACCTTGCTACCTCAACTAAAGCCACATCTGCCACCATAACTCTACCGGTAGATATTGCCAGATCGATCAATTGTTCACGAGTTTCTTTTAAGAAGGGGCGCTGTGTTCATTCGCTAGCTGATCAGCCTATCCAGATTCGCTGAACAGCAACCATGAAAAACTTCATTGCCCTCGCTGCCTTTGCTGCGGGCTCTAACGCCCTCGTTGGCCGCAGGGATACCTGCTGCTTCCATCTCAGCGCTTCTGGCGGTGCCTCCGGTTCACTTGGCCAGCTGGGTGATGGCCAGAACCGCATTGGCGATGCTAATCTGCAACCCGCTCAATACTGTATCGACGACAACGGCGCCATCTCCGACTCCAATGGCCGGGGGTGCATCCTCACCCGTAAGTGAATTAATCAATCCCTTATATATCAGCTATCAAGCATATACATCTGACTGTATGACAGCTCCCACCACTCAACTCCAGTGTGACGAGGGTGTGACTCCTGCCCCCGGTTTCTCTATCAACTCCGAGGGTAAACTCCAGTACCAAAACAACCCCGACTTCGTTGCATGTGCCACGGGCCAGAACGGTGGTATGAACATCTACACTAGCCCTAACAAGATGGATGTCACTGGCTGCGTGAATGTGGTGATGTCTGCCGACTCCTGCGCGGGTACTGGTGGCGGCCCAGGTGGCCCTGCTCCTGGTCCCGCTCCAGGTCCTGCGCCTGGCCCCGGTCCCGCTCCTGGTCCCGCTCCTGGCCCTGCTCCTGGTCCCGCTCCTGGCCCTGCTCCTGGTCCCGCTCCTGGCCCTGCTCCTGGTCCCGCTCCTGGCCCTGCTCCTGGTCCTGGCCCTGGTCCTGGCCCTGGTCCTGGCCCTGCTCCTGGCCCTGCTCCTGGCCCTGGTCCTGGCCCTGCTCCTGGCCCTGCTCCTGGCCCTGGCCCTGCTCCTGGTCCTGGTCCCGCTCCTGGTCCTGGTCCCGCTCCTGGTCCTGGTCCCGCGCCCGGCCCCGCTCCTGCTCCTGGCCCTGCTCCTGGTCCCGGAGCTCACACTGCCACGACCACCGTCACTGTCACTGATTGTACCTGCCCTACCTCCGTTGCTCCTGGAGCTCCTGGGGGTCCTGGGGCTCCTGGTGGCGGTCAAGCGTCGGTCCCTGGTCCTCAGCCCTCCGCTCCTGGTGGTGGAGGAGGTGGTCCAGGTGGCGGTGGCGGCGGCGGTGGTACGCAGCCTGGCGTCTCTCCTAGCATGCCTGCCCCCGGTGGTGGCGGCGGTGGTACGCAGCCTGGTGTCTCTGCTAGTGTGCCTCCCCCCGGTGGTGGCGGCGGTGGTACGCAGCCTGGTGTATCTGCTAGTGTGCCTCCCCCCGGTGGCGGCATGCCTCCACCTCCCCCCGGCGGCACCGGCGGTACGCGTCCTGGCGTGTCGGTTAGTGTGCCTCCTGTCACCGGCGGTGGTGGTACGCAGCCTGGTGGTTCTCCCACAGTGCCTACCCCTACTAGAGGCCCACAACCCACCGGTGTTCGCCCTCAGCCTACCGGCGGCTTCGCCAACACATCCGTCCCTATTAGCCCTGTCTCCCCCACCACAGCCACTGGGACCTCCGGCGGTGCATGTCCCACTACCCTCTCGGGCAACTACGAGATCCCCCACCTTATTGTTCGTATCGACTCGTCCTCGCCAGACACCTCTGCAGGAACTGGGCTTAACGGTACCGTGACCTCGAGCATATCGACCGTGTTCAACTTCGACATCCCGAACTCCGACGCTGGCAAGACCTGCAGCCTCGTGTTCCTCTTCCCCAGGCTTGAGGATCTCGAGACCTCCTCGTTCACTTTCAGTGGTGATGGAAAGATTGACTTCGCTAAGCTCTCTTCCACTGCCGATTCCTCGACATCCTTCAGCAGTGTGCCCTCAGTGTCTCAGGACCTCGGCACCATCACCGCCTCCCCCGGTAACTCATATGTTGTCTCCACCTTCTCCTGCCCGGCTGGCCAGGCTGTCGCCTATCAGATGAAGAACGCCGGCACCACGGACTTCAACTTCTTCGAGGACTGGAACCCCGCTCCGTAAGTTTCCTACCACCTTCCCTTCTGCTGCATGTATATCAGCTAACAGCACTTTCAGTCTCGGTCTGTTCATTACCACTTGCTAAACGAAGAACCTCTTGTGTAACTTGGGCGGTTTACGACTATGGACATGTGATTTCTAGGGCCATTATTTATGCCTTGTAAACTTCCATTGACGTTTCCTTCACGTCGATATGTATTTTCTTGATATTTTTCTCGGTCCAGTGTCCATCTCAAAAAAGTTGACTGTCTATTTGGTGGAAAAACATAGCCATATCTGGTCATGTTGTTTGTAATTGAGGCACACATAGTTAGCGTCGACGTTCCCTCCAGCTATCGGTTAGTATATTGAATTCACTCCTTCAGTTCCAATGTTTTTCTCAAGTAGAATGACCGCAAAGGACATGCATATAGATCTGACTTGTCCACCCAGGCAGCAAAAAGCTACTCTCAATTTTAAATTCTTTATTTAAGGAGTGGATAAGAAAGGAAAAAAACTTCGATACCGGGAATCGAACCCGGGGCCACGGAGTGAAAATCCGTTAGGTTAACCACTACCCCATATCGAACTTGGGATACCAGATCCCTTCTTTATGAAATGTTAAAGAATGCCTCGCAGACGGTATATTTAACCAGCTATTACATCCATGGATATCGACCTCGGGAAGTATAAGGCTGCAACAAAGCCACTTTGAGACAGCCCTGGAGCCAATTATATACCTCGGAACGGAAGAAAGAAGGGGAGACTACCGTCAAGTGCCCGCCAAGTGCCCAGATGCTATTCATGCCGATGCCAAGCAATGCCCTTTAATTAGGCAGAGATGTTTATTTTCCCTATTTCAGATCTTTTAATCTTCTGATCTTCCCCGATTCTCTAATTTCTTGGGGAAGTCCTATCGTTGACCATGGAAATCCCGGCAAAACTCCCCTTCTCCAAGCGCCGGCTCCGACCGCGTGTTGTGATCTCGTGTGTCGATTTTCCCCAGGTCGCCCCCCGCCAAATCCCTAAACTAACGATTCCTCAGCTATATCTTTGACTATGTGATCATTATGTACGGCCTAATAAATTTCCCTCTTTACTCTGTACTAACTCCAAAAACAGTGCCTGCGTTGCCGGCTTCGCGATTCTCAACACGATCGAGCCCTACCACCAACACTTTTCCCTCATCAACACCTCCATCCAATATCCTTACGCCGAACATGAACGCATCCCCATGGCTTGGGCTGTATGCATATCCGGCGGTTTCCCACTCGTTCTTATTATAATCTACACCTTGTTCATCGATGGCTTGTTTTCGCACCATAAGCCACAGGACGCGGCGTCTGGCAAGCGGAAGCTGAGAGGTCCGCATCGCTGGAAGGACAGACTTTGGGAGCTCAATTGTGGAATTTTGGGTCTTTTGCTGGCTCAGGGACTCGCGTTCGTCATTACACAGGCGCTGAAGAATGCATGCGGCAAGCCCAGACCCGATCTTATTGATCGCTGTAAACCACGCGCTGGTAGCAAAGACCTTTTCCCGGGATTGTCGAACTCAACGATTTGTACGGGTGATCCCCACTTGTTAACAGATGGGTTTCGGTCGTGGCCGTCCGGTATGCAATATGACCCGATACTGCTTTTCAGAGTCGCAAAGTGCTAACCTTGATCCCAACTAGGCCACAGTAGCTGTGTGTATACCCTCTTGCAAGTCGCCAGGTCTTTCCTATTACTAACACCGTCAATAAATAGCTTCCTTCGCCGGTCTCGTTTACATATCGCTCTGGTTAGGTGGGAAGTTGCACGTTATGGACAATCGCGGTGAGGCCTGGAAAGCCCTTGTCGTCATGGCTCCTCTACTCGCAGCGACCCTTGTGGCCGTATCGCGTATCATGGACGCGCGCCACCACCCCTTCGACGTGATTACGGGATCGATGCTTGGGATCGCCTGCGGCTTCGTCGCATATCGCCAGTATTTCCCACCGCTCAGCGAACCTTGGCGCAAGGGTCGCGCCTACCCAATCCGAACCTGGGGGACCGATCCTGCAGGACCCGATACTGTCCGACTTAAGGGCCCCAGAGGCGAGAGCATGGTTGCTCTCCGCAACCCGGAAGAAGAGCGCATGAACCCGCCGGATATCCCCAGCTCGGAACATACCAGACCCGACCCCTCTACCTACCTTCATGACTCCAACCCATATGCATCGAATGTTTACAATCGCCACCCGCATGACCATGACGGCGATGGCGGTGCTCGTTCGTCGAGCGAGGACGACGTTCCCAACGGGTATGAGATGCGAGATGGTCATACTATGGGGCAGAATCCCGGTGCCGATCGCCATCCGCCTCAATATTAGCACGGTAATTCGTATGTTTCCCAGACACAGCCGCTGACGGCTGATGCTGACGGGATGGCGGACCCGGGGCGTCCGTTGACGGGCAGGGCCATGTAAACACGAATTATGGGGTTATTGATGATTTGAAGTCTACTCCGTAGTTCAGAGCGGTAATTGACCAGACAATAAGTGCTTATGATTTGATTAAGCCATGGATTATTGCGGTGGCTGGTGATACAACTCTGTACTAGCATGATTATGAGTATATTGGCGTTGAAAACAGAAGAATCTGCATTTGTTGCCATTGAGACCAAGCATATTTAGCAACAGTACCTATATCTCATTAAACAATGATCTATACAATTTACAAGTGCAATGAAGTCAAGTCGAAGTCCAAGTGCTCCGTACAGTCTCCACTTTAAATGTGGTTGGCTTGACAACGATCATCGATACTCTCGTGCCGTAACCTATCAGTCTAAAGGATACGGAGTAATCAAATGCAAGACATAGATTAAAAAGGGACTACTAATGCAAGTGCCTAGACTAATCAATATATAAAAAGCGTCGAGACGAGCATTGAGGGACTCAGGTTACCCCAGCCACCGACATCGTACATTGTGAGTCGCCCAGCCTCCTCAGCCCAAGATGACGCTGAATATCTTTTTTGTTTAATTTCCCCTCTTATTTGTGTCTTTTTTCCTTCTTTTTTCTACTTTCTCTTCTGTATCTCTCTGCATCTTCTACATCGTGCATACTGCACTGTAATCGCAACTGCCTGTGCTTTTTTTGCGAGCTCGTGTAGCCCCACGATATTGTTACTGTAACTCGGACATACCCCAAACATCTCGAGACAGTTGCACATTCCAGAGATCTGAAACCCAATCTCTGAACTGCTGAGATGATTGGCAGTGTGTTCTTCATATTCAACCGCCTGGTTGAGATCGTCTTCCTGATCCCAATCATTGGCATGCTGGTATGTCAACTGTGAACCAGTCTGATCAGCAATACCCCTCGAGCCTCCCGCTAATGATGTCTCCGAACTTAGGCCTACTTCGTCAACGGCTATCTGAAAGCAAACCAGCTGACCCCATCATATGTCCTGGTCCTCTTCATCGTCAGCGTAGTCGCCATTTTCTGGGCCCTCGACACGCTAATCCGCTTCTCAACAACAAAGCGATCCGCACACTTCGTCGCATTCGTCGACCTGCTCTTCTTCGGTGCCTTTATTGCATCCGTCTACCAGCTCCGCTTCATCGCCAACGCAGACTGCGCCAGCTGGCATGGCGGCTCCGTCTGGATCTCTCTGGGTCCATTCGGGTCCTACGGCCAGCGCACAGATAATCCGCTTTCGCTGGACATCAACAAGACTTGCGCTATGCTGAAAGCTTCCTTCGCAATTGGTATCATGGAGACGGTATTCTTCTTCTGGACTGCACTGCTTGCGCTGTTCTTGCACCACTCACATAAACCGACTGTTGTTAAGGAGACGACTGTTCGAAGACGCAGTCATTCCAGTCGTCGTGGTCATGGCTCCGGATCGCACTCGCGTCATCGCAGCTCCAGTCGCAGACCAGCGCCTTATGTCGTCTGATTTTGTTTTATATGATTGGCTTTTTTTTTTACGCGCGGTGCTTCTCATGATTGAATGAAGATCATATGCCTTAATGAGATACGGGTTGGGATATTTCCTTGGATGGATTGATACAGAGCATTTGTGCAATCCCAGCGATGGGTATCATATTCAAATTTTCGTCGTATGTGCTGGGAACATGGCCATTTTGGGCCCTTCAGATTGCTGTCTCCATGTCTTTTCATACTATTGTTTTATTTTATTTGCAATGCCAGCTCCCTTATGATCAACTGATATGCGATATGTCTCTGCATATTACATGTTCAACAATTCATTCCCCTGACTTTGAGTTGAATTCGGATTAGGCTGTTCTATTGTTAGACCCAATATGAAATACGAGGAGCTAAGATCCTATTGCGACAAAGATCTCCCCGGCCATTCGTATTTCGTCCCGCGTCCCCTCTCTATAAATACTACAAGTATTGGTTAACCAACTTATTCTCTGATCTTTTCTAATAAATCTGTTCTTTCATCATGATTTCTACCCAGCATTGGACAGGGGTTCTAAAACCGGCTGCCCTTATACTTGCATTGATTGTTCTGGTGTTCAATATCCAACCCGCGCAAGCGGCAATTCCTACTTCACAGCGCTTTGATCTGTCAAAGCCTTCATACGACCTCTTCCGCAGCAAGTCCCTGCATGATACGACTGTACAACAAGGCTTCGCATTTGACAATACCAATCGCCGACTTTTCGTCGCCCAGCGACGTGATGGCTCCTCCGAGACCTCGGGGGACCTATGCATCACCCAACTCGACTTCGATGGCAACTACGTGGGACACATGTATTTGACGAGCTTTGGTCACGGCGTCTCCTTCGGCGCTCAAGCAGTGGGCTCATCATCATACCTATGGACGGAAGTGGAGGCCAATTCGAAGGGATATGGCAAGAAACTTGCTCGGTTCAAGTTTATTAGCGGAACTACGCTGTCGTCGGCCTCATCATCACTTGAGAAATTCGTTCCTATCGCTGGTGCTACAGAGCATACCTGCTGCATTGATCCCGTGAATAACCGTCTGATTGTCCGCCACCACCTCAGTGACGGTAAACACATTGCCGTGTTTAACTTGGATGAGGCAACAGACGGGGATTTCTCCAATCCTCTTGTGAATTTCAAGCATCCATCATTGGACACGGCATCGACTACATTCCAGGGGTATGCGGCATATGGCCAGTATATCTATCTCCTATATGGCAACTCGTATGATGTCACCAATGGTGAGGTCAATTCGGACGTGACCGCTGTCAACATGAATACCGGATCTGTCGTCCAGGGTCCTCTCATTACAAAAGCTGGATCAACACTATCGTTCCGCGAACCTGAAGGATTGGCCATCTATAAGACTGCGGCTGGGGAAGTTCGTCTTTTCTTGGGATTTGCATCGGGTAACAGTGGTGATCGACGGTCGAATTTATTCTACAAAAATGCTTTGGTTTAGTCCATACATTGCGACATGCAGGCTCATTTCCACTCTGTGATAGGCGAGTAAATATGTATTGCGTAGAGAAATCTATTGAGAAAGAATCAATCTTCGAAAATCTTATCCCAAGCCCTATGGCAGCCCTATGTACCTATGACAGGACACCCTGGCTAGGTGCCTTGAATATTTTCTCTCATTTTCTAGTTTCGTACCCTCTGTTTTAATAGCGATCCATCGATTCCTCCATGGTTGATTTGACGGAATATACACGTATAGAAAGTTAGGTCCGTCAGAGCAAATCATAGCCCAGTGCTATCTCACCACTGCTTCATGATCTCATCTACCCTGTACATTCGAACAACTGAATTCCCCATCGCCGTTGAGCAGGACTTGTTGAACGCCTTCAGGACTAACATCAATTATCGTCTCGAATGCTTGGTTAGCAAGTCCACGCTAACTCTAACTACTACAAAACCAATCTACGGGGGAATTCCTTGCATTATAAAGCATTTGCAGTCAATTCATCCTATATATTCACCTCAAATTAAGCATTCATAGCAGTCCCTCACAAGGCCAGCGAAAGTAAGCTGCGAACATTCTCATATATCCTCCAGATCGAACCGCAGGTACAGCTTGTGAACATCGGCACCAATGTGGAAAGTAACGATACTCGCAATTCGGTTCTCCCTTGGCCCCACGCACACAGAATGATGCAATGATCTTGCCTATTCCAGTCCCTAGCAGGGCATTGAACTCAGATGAGGAAGGCTTCCAGGTCTGCTCTGTGCTGGATAGATAACGAAGTCCTCGGGATTTGTGCACCTTTCTGAGACACGACAGGGTGTTCACTTCGTTGACATTAGGCACAAATACATTCCTCAGGCTATCCAGGGGAAATCCATTTTGTAAGCTGCCTTGGTGAACTCGGATATGTAGTCGCTTCTCTTGGATCTAAAAACATCGTCAATAAAAATCAGTCCTGGACCGGTGCGCCCAATCCACCACACTGGTGGACCTTCGTCCCGCAGCGTAATGCTAACCCGTCGATAGGTGGAATTCGCGTTGCTCATGTTAAGAGCAGCTAGTAATCTTGCATCTAGATGCACAGATGCTCAATCGATGACATAGTCCCGGTCTCTAGGCGTCAAAGTGAAAGTGGAAATGGGGCATGGACAACCCGATGCACGGTGGTTTTCGATCCATTTCTGTAGGCTTCGTCCCTTCTTTTCCCGCAGAGGGTAATTGTCGGCCATTTTGCTTTGTGATAACGGTTGAAGGGTTGGATAAGATGAAGGAATAGAGGAGAGTCCGTTAAGGCGCCCCCTGACTTGTAGATCTATCCGTATGGTACGTCTTTTTCACAAGCTTCATTGGTGAGCAGTGCTTCCTTTATATATGTTTCAGGCCGGAACGAGGCTAGAGATTCAAAGAAGGCTCAATCAATGCAACTAAGATTAAGACAATGAAGTAAAAGAGGACAATGTGAAAAGAAAAGAGATTTGATAAAGGAAAGAACGACTCTGGAAGTCGTGAAGGCCCCAATTTCTTGAAAGATTAAGGTTGGATTGGAACTAAGGTTGGAACCCCAGACCCATGGGAACTCCCAGAGCCGCATTGAAATGCAACATGCATGGATACATATGTAGGCCTGAGGCAGCAGTTCTAGTGACAAAGAACAAAGAGTTCTTGGAGGGCTCCTATCCACTTGAACTCTAAGATCCATTTCGGCCAGTAAGGGACAGAACAAAACACATCGTGCGAGAAATCTAACATAAGCTCGACTAGATTATAACCGGACTTTCATTATCGACGAGCTGTTGACTCCTCGGATACCCCTTTCGATAAAGGGGTCACTTATGCTTCGATCGCCTACCTCGCGAAAGGAGGTAACCCAATGACCTTGCCTCGTCTCACAGCCAATCTCTCGACGCAAGTTCGCAAGTTGATATAGACACTGAAGGAAAAACGACTCCAGGCCTTGAGTTCGATATTACCTGTCAAATGCACCTGCCCCCTTTCAGATCTCCTCAATTCTTCCCACATGTCAAGCTCACGCTCGGAAAAGACTCTATCACGATCAGGAGCCTCCGCTTCTACCGGGTTTCTCAGCTTACCCCTCAGCTTACCCATTGAAGCTCGCAATGAGGTTTACAAGTATGTACTTACCGTACCACACCCACTATATCTTTTTCAAGGTCCAGGAGGTCCTGTGCAGACCTTTGCGCCCGAAAAGCCTTACCGATGGCTTGCATTGCTATACATCAATCGACAGATATATAACGAAGCCAAGGCAATTTTATACGGCACAAATCGCTTCACTCTCCAGGAAGTGGAAGTGGAAACAATGCAACGCGAGGACAGCCTTTTGAATTCCATTCTGAACTGCATTGGGCCTGTGAATGCAGGTCTACTGTCCCATCTATGCATCAATTTCCCGGCTACGAGGATGATAGAAAGTCAGCCAGGAGAGATCAGGCTTAGAGAGGATAGCTTGCAGAGTTTGCAGCTTCTGCAAAAGGAGCTTAAAAACCTGAAAACACTGGAAACTCTCGTTTATAGCCGGAATTCCCGCAGCCTGCTCCAGGGGAATCTCGACGATACCGAGCCCGCTCAAGAGCTGTTCTTGGAAATTGATGCGCAATTAAAAGGCATTGTCTCCCTGGACAAGTTCGTTGTTAGAATTTGCAGTGGATCTCCAGACCCTTGGGCAAGAGAATTTCTGGAACAGCTCGGATGGGTCGTCTTGGTCGGCGGTATATAACTATATGTAGTTTTGAGGCACGCACTAGATAGTCTCGTCATTTCTAATCTAATACGAGCGTCGTGACAAAGTATACACAATAAGTAGCTTGGAGCTATATTACAGAATACTAAGGAATGTCAATCTCCACAATTTAGAACCTAGCTTCTGCAACTACTTGACCCATCTCACGTTCCATCCCCACCTTGACATCTCCGCAGACCTCTCTTCCATAAACAGACTTATTCAAAAAAATAGTGTAGGTCCATTGGCTTCCACAATCACTGAGTACTCTCGTGAGTCTCGAAGACTCCTTCAGCAGAACGTGAGCCGCCGGTCAATCTCCAAAGTAACTGTTGAAACATTGCTCGGTCAATTTCCGAAGAGATAACTCCGTCATTGGACCAAAAAGCTGCGCTGAAGTGACTTTGGGCAGCACTTTCCTGATTTCCATAGATGTCTGGTGCAAATATTAAAAATAATGACTTTCAGGGCGTTGGTCACAAATTATTTCATCGGATTCCCTTAAGATTGGGTGTGGCCGTGGCTCATTCGAGGCGAAAGTCTTCAACACAAACTCCTTGACCGAATGATGCACGAGTCGAACCTGATGCTTCTTTACGTCTCTGAACTTGACGTGAGCAATGAATGGATGAATTAACCGCATGACTCTCTTGTAATCAACCTGCTTGCCAAGAGCATTTACGGTAGTGACATATTGAGTCGTACCTAATGCAACGGCCCAGGCGAGCTCTAGTATGCTCAAACTCCTATTTGTGATGGCGAGAAGCTTGAGAGCTGCACTGGCAATGTCCAAGTCCTCAGGATCCTCGAAGAGCAGCGGGAAAGTACTGTGCTGTAGATCTCTGACAGCTGTTCGGGGAGTGACGTTTCTTCCAGGAAAGTTTTCATCGGTTCGAATGCCCCGATGTTCCGAGTTTCAATCAGCTCAATAGTCATCCTCGTCCATATAACGCTTCCTTTTGCTAGACCAGTCATTCTGTCTATGACAAGTGACTTGACATCCGGCGACAGATCGAACAACTTCTTTTCGACAAGCTTCTCGATGATAATGCCATCTCGATGAGCGTCGGTTATCATTTCGATTTTAGCTGTGTCGTGAAACTGTTCCGAGATCTCCTCCTGCGCACGGGAAGATAGTATGACTTTCAGCCCCAAAACTCTCTGTGATAGTTTTTGTAGTATTGTCAGAAGATTACTTCGAGATTCCGCAGAGCACTTGTCCAGACCGTCAATCACCATGAAGACTGGCCGAAGCATGGCTTCGAGGACTTTGCATAGGAACTCTCTCAGCGTTTTGGAATCTGTCGCCGGATCAAAGTCCACGCAAGTCTGAGCCTCCTTGTACCACTGAAAAAATGGCTTCTTTAGATCCGGGAGCTGTGTAAGGAGAGACAGGATTAGAGCGGACAGTATGTAGATGGTTTCCCCCGTCTCCTCGTCCCGGCAATAGTAAAAGCAGACCTTGGGCTGAGGTAATTGGTGTTTGCTTCTTCGCACCAGCTCGTCCGCAAGAAATGCCATAGCAGAGCTTTTTCCACTGCCCATAGCGCCGAAGATTGCCAACTGATGTGAATCGGAATCGTGATACCAGTTTATGAAATTGGAGTTCTCCAGTAGGAATTCGCAAGCTTTATCGGCTCGTTGTTTACTCAAATATTGATGGTACTGACTTTGGCGACTCATCCTGTCACCATCGGTAAACTTGTTTGCTTCGGGTAAGAATGCGTTTGGTAGCTTAGAAAGTATGAAGACTTACTTTCCCGATCAATATCGAACTCGCTTTTGATCTTCGCGACATTTTTTGAACGTTCCGAGAAGTATTGCACAATGTTTGGGGGCCGGTCATTATCCATTGTGAACCTTGCTCCAGTCCTTTTCAGTGGTAGAATATTAGAAAGGCTTGAAGAAGGGAGTGATCAACAGAAGTGATAGAATAGTTGGTGATGATGATCTCTAGGTACGGCCATGAAGCTCTACATATAGCCTCGAGGGACAAAGAAACTAAGGCCTGAAAGCCGGAGAAAGGATCTCGAAGTAGCAAAATGCATGAAAGCAACTTCACTGCGTCAATTCAACAAAAGGAAATTCCGTGTAAAATTATTCCATGGATGTCCTCCCTGTCCGCTTCCTGGTCGTATCTTCCCTAGAACGTTGAAGTATTTGACGTTTTATGTGTTAAAAGCAACACACGTAAAAGTCGATACATACCTACCTAGGTATTGTAGACCAATGACAGTTCCGAGTTGGGCCGAGGTGGGTTTGTCTGGGTTTGTCAGACTAGTCCACTTTCATTCTTAGGCTCGATTCCATGACTCAACCGCACCGCACAAGGCACTTCCTAGGAGAGCACTGAAAGAAGTGATCGACATGGCCACAAAGGGTGAATTTGTAACTGTGAAGGCATCCTTGCCCACAGTCCCGCTTCCCGCAAATAGCGAGCGACCAGCAATAACAACGGATCGCTTACTCGTCCGCGCCCTCCAATCAACTGACTTGGAAGCCTTACATGTCCTGCGCACACAAGAAGAAGTCATGAAATGGACGAAGGCTGGATGCATCGATGAGAGTATTGAGAAGACCAAATCCAGGCTGGATCCTTTCCTACCACCAAATGATCTTATCACTGCCAATTGTGCCATCTGTCTGAAGGAAACGGGCGAGCTTATCGGTATCGGTGGCTGTCATCTTTATCCTGCAACGCATGGATGGCCTGAAGTTGGATACATGCTTCGGACGGACGCTTGGGGGAAAGGTATTGCGACGGAGTTCTTGAGCGCCTGGCTGCGATTTTGGTCGGAGTTACCTCGGACGGAGCGGGAGGTCAGAGTTCAGAAAGAAATGGTCATTGGAGAAGGTGTAGTGGATGAACACCTTATCGCTATCACGGAAGCAAGCAATAGTGGAAGTCAGAGGGTATTGGTGAAATGCGGGTTTGAGCGATTCCGCGAGTTTGTCGAGGTGGATGATACCGAGACCGTGAATCTTGTTGCTTTCCGCTTTCTTCCAAAGCGATAGAGCTTAGCTACATATGTACATAGGTATACCCTCTCTGTACGTAAAATATAAGAAACCGTTTATATCACAGCTCGGAAGTCACATCATCGCAGGTATTTACGTGCAAACAGAAAACGGAGACAACTTTCTAATATACAATCCACCTCGGGCTCAGCTGCCAAGCTGCCTTCCAAGGTTGCGTTGCACATCTTTGATTAGGGACTGGCACGTGAGCGGACTGCTCTACATCACTACTCCGTACCACCGAAAGCATAAATGGAGGCCCGTGGGCCATCCCATGAGTTGACTAATCTAGTAGGAACTTCACTCGAAATGCAAAAGAATATCCAACAAGAAGAAATGGAACACTTTGACGTTGCGGTTGTTGGACTTGGAGTGCTTGGAAGCGCGGCTGCCTATCAAGCCGCTCTAAGAGGCAAGAAAGTGATTGCATTCGAGCAGTTCGAGCTGGGCCATGTGCACGGAGCCTCCCATGATACATCGCGGATTGTCAGAACAGCAAACGCGGCACCTCAATACGTCTCTCTGGCCAAATCCGCCTACAGGGACTGGGCCGACCTGGAAAAGGCTACAGACCAGAAGCTGTTAACGATAACCGGTGGTGTTATGTTTTTCCCCAAGGGTGCAACCCCTCCACGCGTTGACTTTACGACAAGTCTCGATGCCAAAAATGTGCCATATGAGGTTCTGGATTTCAAGGAAGTGAACGGACGTTGGCCCCAGTTCAACATCCCAGACACGGTCGAGACGGTATACACGGCCGACACCGGCATTGCGCATGCGGCTAAGACAGTCCTAGCTATGCAAAGTCTAGCAAGGATGAATGGCGCAATTTTGAAGGAGCACACGCGAGTGGATCGCGTGACGCCGAAGAAATCAAGCACGGGTGTCGTGATTGAAACATCCAAGGGACGGTTCCACGCAGCCAAAGTCATCCTCGCCACAGACGCATGGACCAACAAGCTCCTCGCTCTCCTTGGGGTACACATTCCATTGACAGTGATGCAGGAGCAAGTGACATACTTCAAGCCAACGGACGAACAAGCCTGGGAACCCAGCCGTTTTCCCGTATGGATCTGGGCCGGTGATCCCTGTTTCTATGGGTTCCCATGTCTTGGCGAGCCGACTATCAAGGTTGCCCGCGATACTTCAAACAATTTCATGACACCTGAGCAGCGTACATATGTACACTCGTCGCAGTTGCTAGAGCAGCTTTGTTCATTCATGGGCGATTTCATACCCGACAAGGGCCGTCAACCGCTTCGTACTATCACTTGCCAATACTCTATCACTCTGGATCGACAGTTCATTATTAGCCCATTGGAAAACAACCAAGATATTATTGTTGGTCTGGGGGCTGCTCATGCGTTCAAATTTGCGCCGGCCTTTGGTCGTGCTCTTGCAGAGTTGGCAATTGATGGGAAGAGTACGGAGGATCTTTCGAAATTTGGGATTCCGAATAATGCTACTTCTACTAGCAAACTTTAGGATTTTTTATCATATTTCAAATTCAAGCCTGGGAGCAACATGCAGGGGGTCAGTGTTTCCATCTAGAATGGTATATGGTGCCATGAGAGTCTTACTGATGGTTGTTAAAGAAGCTAAGGACCACAGAGAAAGCTGACATAGTTCCATTAAATGGTATCACATAGTATAAAGTGCACCTCAGGCACTAGGCAAGTAAACCAGTCATCCAGGAAAGGGCCAATGTTCAAACAATTGGCACTGTTAGCAAATGCAGCGAACATAGTATCTTCAAAGGACAAATCCTACGGGATTGCCCAACAGGTCTTTGTTCTAGCACGTATATAGATGTTCCCCTCATTATCTCTCCTTGTCTCTCCCTCTAACTATCTTCCAGGCTTTTCTTCTACCATACTCCTTTGTATATGTATTGACTCCCTTTTTCATGGTCACTGGCGCACCCAATCGAACCTTGCAAGCTCCAGCGCTGACACAGCCCAGAGGCATCTATCGAGACGATGGACAGGAGACAAAATGCCACGGTAATCAGACTTACCATTATTGCTATGGCAGTGTGTATAAAAGGCCCCGGATAGGAGCACATCGAAGCTGCTGACGACCTTTGCAGGCTTTGTCTTCTACCTAAATACACCAATTGCCGAGAGTTTTGTCTCCAAAAGCGCCTCGGAGAGACGCAACCAATTCCGGACGGTGTGGCGATCCGTGGTAATTACGGGAAACAGCTAATTTATGGTCTAAATAGCTTTAACTTCGATCCGGCTTCCTCCTTCCCACTAAATCACCGATATTGATTGGTTTGTGAAGCACAAGTTACTCTCTGAGTTGCCTGGGATCTGGACTGCGCGAGGCTTGTGAAAGCAGCTAGGGTTCGCTTTTGTTCGGGGAGCATTGTAACTATGTGTTTTCTAGTTGCAAGAGCGCTAGAACTTGTCAGCTACGCTGCTTTGGCTGTGGATTTGGAGCGAAAAAAAGGATGGAACCTTAGCAGGAAATGTGCGCGTGAACCTGAAGGCTATATAGCCTTTATCCCACTTCTTACTCCAATTAACGAGAGCACAATCAGTGAACCAGTCGCGGAATTCGTGAACGACCTGTTCTTTCCACATAGGGCTTCAACTTCAGTCTCGAGACGCATCTATACAGAAATGAGCGGTCTCGGCCATCATTATCTCGTCATCTACCATATCTCCGAGATTGTGAATGCCATACCGATTGTGGCCGTTCAAAAATCCATTAATGTCAACTTCCGCAATAAAATCTCCTTCCAAGCGTCTTCTCTTCTCTTCTTTCTCTTCTCTTTCTCTTTCTCTTTCTCTTTCAAATCAACAAAACTTGACTTTGTGCTTTCATCTAGCGCCTTGACCTTTCTTTTCTTATCTTTTCTTTTCTTCAGATATCGAAACAGCAGCCAAAGTCCTTATCCCATTCACCGGGGTTAAGACAGGAGAGAGATTCTTCAAAAACAGCTTCGTTACAGGCCGGGAGCGCCTTTTATGTGCCGGAGTACGGGAGAACCTGCCCGACTGGAAATATATCATCATGCACCAAGGAATCTACACCACCAACGATACTGTGATTACGACTGCCCCACAACTACGTTCAGGCCGTGGTGGCCGCGGTGAGGTTTTCCTGCCGAGTTTGATGGCCTTCTTCGTCCGTCTTTTATCAAGCAATTATCATGACCATGAGTTGGGAGCCGGAGTCTATACCTCCGCCTCCTTGGAGACTGTGCTATCGTATTGGAGAAAGGGAGGGCACTGTTGGTCTTCAAGAATACCGGGGACGTGGCCGCGGTGTGCAAGTACCTACGCATCTATCCCCTATTGACATGGCGTCAAAAAAAAACCAAGCTGTGTCTCACTTCACCCTGAGGGACCTGGGAGAGCTTGGAGCCCTTTGTCTCCCCGAGGGCTTGATCCTAGAAGACCTGGGTAATTCTCCCTTCGCCTGTGGCTCAAATGAACAATGAGGAGCATCTATGGTTATTATTGCGTCGAATTTGATCCACACGTATATCTTCGAGCTGGCTTACCGCCTGAAGCTATCAACTGTCACTGAAACGTTGTTGTTCGAAAGCATAACTCGCCCAGCGCTTATGGCTCGAGAGAATGGATACCTGTGGAATCCAGTCTGCCACTTCTCATGACTCCACTTCTCATCCTCGGCAGTGTCCTCGATTCGTA